GGATTGTGAAATATCCTTGGGTGCCACAGCTGCAAGAGAATTCTTTTAAAAAGAAGTTTAAGATCAACAGAAACAAAAGAGATAGCACATTTTGAGGGAGTCAAAGTCATATTCATTGGGAATCTACCAATACATAATAGGACCTGGAGTTTCAGCAAATGAGATGCAAATGTAAATGTGTCCATTTATTATTTGCTAAGTATGACTTTGCAAAGTTGTTTTTTTTTTTTTTGCATAATTCAATGCTTGTCCAAGTTTAACTTCCAAAAAAAAAAAAAGTAAGAGAATGAGAGGATAAAAGTTTCTAGAGTCTTCTCTCCAGAGATTCTGGGCCAACAGATAAGGAGGGCCTGGGCATGTGCACCTGCTAAGCTCAGCTGCAGCTGATGACTGTGTACCTCAGTTGGAGAACCACAGCTTTATAGGACATGTATGTTATTGAGGCTCCTACCAGCCCTTGCCTTAACACCCCCATAACTTTAATCCCATGGACTGGATGACAGGAAAGAGTTATATAAGCATGTCTAAATGTCTGCATTTATTTTATATTAAGTAAGATTACTGTAAGTTTCTGTAAGTTACTGATTCCATAGGCTTAAGCTGGCATGTGGTATAATGCAAATATTGGGCAGAGAGGTCTCTGTTCCTATCAACCGTTGATGAGCATTTGTCAATGAACCTAGACCAATAGAATTAGTATTCAGTTGTTCACTTCTGTAATGCTTGTAGCTACCAGGGCTCAGCAAGGTGAAACACGGAGGTGAAAACCCCATCAGGATGCTGGGAAGTGAATGACTGGCCATCACAGATACTCCTTGGTTCTGCTTGAGCACGGATCTTCAATCTGGAGCCAGGAGCAGGACTTTCTTTCATGGCCTCTATTGTGGGATACAGGCATTCTGACCACTCAAACACTTACCCTACCTACTCCAACATCCTTTGGAAGTGGGTTTTCAGTCCTTTCTAGTAAGTTGCCAAGAATAGCAGAGGGAAACCCTGCCTGCCTCCCATCTAACTTCACCAATGGGCACCACTTGCCTAATGGGCACACAGTATTAAATAAAGGTCAAACAAAAACGTGACCTAGAGATGTTCAAATTGTACCATTATTGGGCACACTCAGCGTTGTGTGAGTTTTTACTTCTGTGCCATCAAATCACACATAGAGCACCGTGTGATCAATACCTTAATGAAAACACAGAATGGCTTCGTGACAACTGTCACTCACACTATCCCCATATAGCCACACCCACCCTCTGTCCCCTCCAGAACACACATCCTAATTTGTGTTCATCGCCACCATCCTCTAATTGATAATATAACAGACTATGTATATTTTCTAGCCCACACCAGATATCTGTAAATAGGGACATCAACACCTGTTTCTAATTTAAGCAATTTGATTAGTTCTGAAATGCTTTTTCTCCGTTTTCTTCACTAAGCAGAGGTGAAGACAGAGTCCCCCAAAAGGCTATGTGAAAGATTTGATAAACTTAGTGAAATAAATGGCTGCTAAATGCAAAATGCTTCACAAGCATTTACTTTATTTATAGAGTTGATTATATATACATATACTGCATGTAGATAGATAAATGCATTGATGTTGCAAACCTTGTGTTGCTGGAAATATGCACAATAAAGAAAGTTTCTAAGTGAATCATCTCTAAGAACTTATCTGTAGTGCTGGTAAGTTTTTTGTCTGCGTTTATAGCTTTTTTTTTTTTAAGATTTATTTATTTATCCCTGGAGAGTCACATTTATAGAGAGAAGGAGAGACAGAGAGGAAGATCTTCCATCTGCTGATTCACTCCCGAAGTGGCCATAACGGCCAGAGATGAGCCAATCTGAAGCCAGGAGCCGGGAGTCTCCTTCAGGTTTCTCACATGGGTGCAGGTCCCCAAGGCCTTGGGTCATCCTTTACTGCCTTCCCAGGTCACAAGCAGAGAGCTAGAAGGGAAGCAGAGTGGAGCAGCTGGGATATGAAGCACTGCCCATAAGAGATTCCACTGCATGTAAGGCAGGATTTTAGCCACTGTGCTAACGCACCAAGCTCTGTGTCTATAGTTTTACGGTAGAAATTAAATAATGAGGCAGAAGGACTACAGCTTTGACCGTGACACTTAAAAAGATGAGCCTAAATATTTTGTCATCTAAATGCCATTGTTATCTTTATTGAGAATGTGTATCACCAGGATACCTCAGATTGTTCCCTAGGCCATAAATGAGTTGCCTGAACTGTATTCAGACTGTTTTTTTCTCAGATATGAAAACGTAGATCCATCTGCTTTGCGCAGCTACATTATGCACCTGTTCAAGCTGATATAAAATGGATTCCAAGGAGGCTTTGTATGTCCATCACTATTCTGCTCACTGAAGAGCATGCATCTCATACCCCTAATGTGAGCTTGTCACGTTTAACATCAGGGTGGGTGACTGCTTCCTGCTTCAATAAAAAATATTACATAAGTTGTTTTTTCCTGCTTTTTCTGGATGCTCCCATATGTGATGGTTCCTATGGGGGACAATGGAGAATCTGTGTAAGAGTGATTCCTGGCGTGTACATGAATTGGCTTGGCCTCTACAAATCATTCAGAAAACAAAGAAATTACCATAGATTATTCCCGTTTAGTTCATTCAGTGTTTATGGATAATTGGGAATGATCCAAAATATTTATTAAATATTGCCTTTTCACTATAAGGAGAAATTCCGACGCTGCAGGGATGTGTGCTGTAACAGGGGAGACCAGAACGTGGACCCACTGGTTGTCAATCATAAATGGACAGCAGGGAAGACAACTTAACCTAGAACCTAATATCACACAGGCATTGTCACCATGCTTCGTCTTAGTCTGTGTGAGAGGAACCTGTCCTATAGCAAACAATGAACATCTAGGCTGCTTCTACACCGGGCCTAAGTGAGGAAACCTTTGTGATGTGAGCATCAAGGCTGCCTCTACACCAGCTTAAATGTGGTGTCACACAGTGAGCCTCTAGGCTGCCTCCACACCAGCTTAAATGTGGTAACCTCTGTGATGTCACACAGTGAGCTTCTACGCTGCTTCCACTCCAAGCTTGAGTGAGGCAACCTTTGTGGCATCGCTTTAACTCCTCAGAAAAATGTATAAATGAGACAAAAGGTTTGCATAATGTCAGAGTATAAACCATCAAGCAAGGCACATTCTATCTTAATTCTCTCCTCTTAAAAACAAAACATTTTTCATGGATAACCTCTTTTTTTTCTAAAATGCTGGTTTGGATAATAAACACAAAACTCCTTAGATTCACTTTAGCAAACCGTACCCACTTGTCTCTACTTTGCTTTGTTCTCGTAACCCTGTATTCTGAATCTTACCTTTATCAGCACACTTGTTTCTTGTTTTCCAATAGGGCTATACTGTATTGCGTGCCTCTGTGTGTATGATAATATCTAATTATTCATTTCCGCTGGACGTTGGAGATGACTTTTATTTTGACATGTACAAATATGTTCATAATGAATCATGAGTGCAATATTTCCCCCCTTTTTCCCTGAGTTACATCACTAGATACTATATCTGGATAAAAGTATAGATACATATGTAATTATGCTAGAAATCACTGAGCTCATCATCTAAAGCTGCTTTCAAAGCTACTGCCCTTTCACCCACATACATAATTATGTGTGGATTGTCCCTAGAATATATTTAATAATGCAGGGACTGTCAATCTATTGGGTTTGTCTAATTTAGTTTGTAAAAATGGCATACTGGTCTAATTGTTTATCATGAGCGAGATTGGACACCTTTTCATTTGAACTGGATTTATTTTTATTTTATACAACTGTCCATTTGTATTTTTCACTGTATGTTTCTATAGACTTTATCCTCTTTTTAATACTTTTTGTATATGTTTACTTTGTTCATTTGAAAGGGAGAGAGGCAGAGAATGTGAGAGTGAGATGTTGCTTTTACTGGCTCACTTCTCAATGTCTGTAATGTCTAGGACTGACCAGAATCAAACCAGGAACCTAGAATTTCCTTTGGGTCTCCCACCTGATTCACACAGCCCCAAGTACCTGTGCCATCACCTGTTGCTTTATCAGGCACATTAACAAGCAGCTGTATCAGAAATGGCGCAGCTGTCACTTTAGTTTGCATTGTTCTTTTGAAATCCCAATTGTGTCTGTGAATTAATATTTTCTATTTTTCATTAATTTGTGCTGTAAGCACATGTATTCATAATTTCTTTATTGTTTCTGAATACTGAATCATTGCTAACAATGTCTGGCCATTCCCAGCTGACAAAGACATCAAATATTGCTTCCCTTTAATCTACATGTGTCACTTTTTTAGTATTTAGGCCTTTGATTGATGTGTAATTGCTTTCAAGTGTATAGTATGGAGAGAGACAAGGATACGTGGCTTCTCGGTCTTTCCAGTAGCACTCAAACAAGTTTTATGCATTTTTTTCCCCTCTGACACGAGTGGTTCCCTATGTCTTGCGTCCACCTTTGAGCTGCAGCTTTCTGTTCCAGTTATTGTTGACTTTATCAGGTAGCTGGCCGACATAACAGAGCAAGCAGCACTGTTTCCGATGTTTCTTTTCATCTCTGGGCTGTTTACTTTCTTTTGCAAATGAGCTTTACACTCAGCTTGTGTAGAAACTGAACAGAAATTTGACTGAAAATGTGAGGAGCTTTTTATAAAGATTGTACTAAATGCATATGGAGGGAACATTTTCATGAGGGTGGCCAGGATTATTTGTGTTCTTAGTCCTATGTTGCCGTTTTCTCATGTAGATTTTTGAACATTTCTTTTTGTTTTTTTTTTTATTGCTAGGAAGCATTTTCTTTATAAGGTTTTGTTTTTTGTACTCTTTATATATATCTTGAGTTTCACAAATAAGGCAGAATACCTGCCATTTGTCTTTCTGGATATGGTTTATTTTACCTATAAAGCATATACTTCGTATCTTCTTTCTTACTCTCTTCCTGCTTCTTTACTCCTTCATGTTCCCTTCGCTCCCTTTGCCTTCCCTCCTTTCTCTTCTCCCCTGCCCCTCCCCTCCTCTGGCCTTCCATTCCCTCCCTTGTCTTTCTATGTGGATAAAGGACCTGGGATTTGTTTGTATAGTTTTCTCAGAGTCTAACAGAGTCGTTGAAAAATAAATAGAATCTTTTCAATTACGTACAAAGTGTTTGTTACGCGCAATGTGTCAGGTAGACATTGTGGGAAGGATAGTTCCATAAATAAAAGCATGTATGTTTTACCTTTTCTCCTGGGACAGTCCTAGACAAAAGTCAAGATGTGTGTTTTTCTTCACTTTCTTCTAAGACCCATTACAAGACCAAACTTTTTTTTTTTTTCTTTATGGCTTTGTGAATGGCCAACCTGAGAAGCACCTCACCTCCTACCACTTAATCTCCATAAAGACCATGATGAAGTTCTGTGATAATGCTGAGATGATCCTAAGAGGTTTCCAACCACACCTGGCCCAGAATGAGGGACACTGCGGGTAACTCATCACATGGAAGCAGCAGGTGTGCCTGTCCAACCAGCATCCCTTGCAAAAGACAGGGAGCCATGTGGGCGGGTGACAGGTGCATCTCAGACCCTGCGTTGATCTCACAAGCCTCAAGGTGATTTGTGTGCTCTGTACCTTTACTTCCAAAATCTCACCGAAAAATATCCTCTCTGAAACTTGCTAACCTGAATTTCCATAGGCAATATTTTGTGAAATTGTTTGGGTTTGCCTTATGGCTGTACAACTCAACTCTACCATAATGCTATGAGCATGCCTTGAAAAGATTAGATAGATAGCTGTACCTTTCAGATGACAGCTCTCACTGTTGCAGACTGTCTCTGCAAGACTCGCTCTCTTTGGATTCTCCTCATTCTGCTTTTAAACTAAATTAAGTTACATAATTTTGAGAACACATACAGGAATCTAGAACAGTATACTCATTCCTCATACCTCATTTACTCCCATCCAATAGTTCTCAATATTCGGGTATTTTTATCTACTGTTTTTTTTTTTTTTTGATAGGGGATTTTCTTTTTTTTCCCCACAAAGAAAATTTATTTTTTAAGAAAAATGATTTATTTTTATTTGAAAGTCAACTTTTAGAGAGAAGGAGAGACAGAGCGAGAGAGATCTTTTTATCTGCTGGTTCACTCCCCAAGTGGATGTTTCAGCCAGAGCTGAGATAATCTGAAGCCAGGAGACAGAAGAGCCTTCCATAAACAAATTACCCACATATAATCTCACAAAAATACAATGTAAGTGATGAATATTTCTGTAACAAGATATTGAGTTTTCTGTATTTTCCTATGCTTACTATTTTGATACACTTAAATATCAACTTATTTTGTAACTTGCACTAAGGGACTATGCTATTCTGATAACATGGGGACAAACAGTGGGAGGGGAAAATGGAGAGGAAGAGCTGAGCACTAAGAGACGAGTCCCTCTGCCTCTAAAACGGTTTCATGGGAAATGATTTTTAAAATGGAGTTTTAAAATAGAGTCACCCCTTCATTATAATGATAAACTAAATCTTTAAAATTAAAGATCATCTGCTAAAACATTGCAGTTTTTTATCATGAGATAGTGGTGTGTGTGTGTGTGTGACTCTGGACACAGTCATGGTCCACTCACAGATATTGGGGTGTGTGTGTGTGTGTGTGTGTGTGTGACTCTGGACATGGTCATGGTCCACTCACAGATATTGGTGTGTGTGTGTGTGTGTGTGTGTGAGACACTGGACACGGTCATGGTCCACTCAGATACTGGGGTGTGTGTGTGTGTGTGTGTGTGTGTGTGTGTGTGTGTGTGACTTTGGACACAGTCATGGTCCACTCACAGATATTGGCAGATATTGGTGTGTGTGTGTGTGACACTGGACATGGTCATAGTCCACTCACAGATATTGGTGTGCGTGTGTGTGTGTGACTCTGGACACAGTCACGGTCCACTCACAGTGCCTCATTAGCATTTCTCCAGCATTCTCATCCTCTTATTTTTGTATGTGGACAAAGCCGAGTCCCTCCCTCTGCATGTAACTGATGGCATCCTTGCGGTGTAATTAAGCATATTTCTTATTCCTTGCCTTTACATTGGATTTGAAGTCTCAGTATTCGACAAAGTACAGCTTGAGTTTATGGATTTGTACAAAAACCATGATAACATATTGTGTAGTATTCAGGACTATGCTCTGTCTCAGGCTTCCCCTGTGTCTACATGTACACTTCTTGGATAAGGGGAAACTGCAAAATTTGCTTTTTCAATTTCTAGCTTCAGTTGTTTAACTTTTTTCACTGACTATGATGCTAGGTTTAAGTACAATTCATATAAGACAAGATTGTATTTGTACTCTTAGTGCCATGCAGGAGATGAGTTTACTCTCCACCCACTTTCGAATGTAAATAATCGATTTAGGTAGATACACAGATAATAGAAAAAGATGGGGTATCAGATATCAGGTGGATTATACATTTAAGAATTTCAGTTTTTTTATGTCCCAAATTGGTCTATCAGATCAACTTCTTTGCCATTTTGACATGCTAACAATTTTTGACAGCTTTCTTACTTCTTCTGGAAAAAGCATAATGTTCCACCTCACCCTGTGTGCTTCTTGCTCTGAACATGGTTTCCTAAAATCCTTATTCTTTTTAAGTGGATAATTATACTCAGAAGCCATTACATGTACTGTTGGCTACTTCTAGCATTTTAAATGGCCAAATGTGAAAATCTCTTTAAAAAATAGAAAACTGAATAACGAATTTGAACTGGATTAACTAATTCAAATTACGGATTTTTATATGTTTTGGATTTATGCCTTATTCTATATTTTTAAAAATCAGGTTGTGTTCACAGTAGCATAATTGTGTTTTTTTTTTGTTGTTGTTGTTGTTTTTAGTTTTCCTTGTTTAGTGTGATAGTTTCCTGGTTAAATAGCAGTATTATTTTACAGTGAACTTATTCAATATTTTAAAATATTTTTGTCATTCTTGTTTTTGTGTTTTCGGTAAAACATATCATACCACGCTCTTCTAGTCAAAGTGTTGCTTTTTTGTTTTTGTCTTAACAGATGCAGTTTTATTTGTCTGCTGAAACTTTTTTCTTTTTCCATTTATTATTATTATTATTACATAATTATCATTTTATGATACAGTTCTCACAGAACCTGGGATTTCCCCTACCCATTCCCTTAACTCCTCCCACCCCCTACCATCTAAATTCTCCCACATCATTACAACAGCTTGGCTCCCTATAAACAGTCATAAGTCCATCATTACAGGAATGGACAATGGCCAAGAGCCTAGTATCCTGTTGTCAAGACACATACAACAGTTTCACTGGGAGTCCATCTTGATCCAGATGTACAGATGTACACTGCACCGTATCCGCACATCTGGATATGTCTCCACTACTCGGTCACTAGAAATCCCCCCAAATGAAAAGCCTCAAAACAAAACCAACAACAGGGAGAAAAACAGGAAGTTACAATGCCATGAATTAAACAACATGCCACTGAATATGACAGTCTCCATTACACAGTTGCTACATATACCCTTAAATGAAAAGCCACAAAACAAAATGTGTCACTCAAGAAATGAAAATCAAAAAAACTTTCTTGAAGAGAATTATGCTATTATATGATCAATAAGTCAGTGAAGAATTTAATAAGAACAAAACATGTTTTGAAGAAATGAAACTAAAAACACCAAAATCCTTGAGAAACAGTTTCTGCTGATCTTTGTTGGTGAGATATAACTCCTGTAGGCAACAAATAGATTTTGTTTTCAGTCTACTAATTTATGGCATTTGATGGATAAGTTTAATCCATTTACATTCAGGGTTAATATAAACAGGTGGTAATTTGATCCTGTCATTTAGCAATGTGTTCATTGATTTAGTCTTTTGTTGTTACTTTACTGGGATTTCTTCATATTTGCTTTTGGTTTTGATGGGTGCTATTCTGTTTCTCTATCAAGAGAACATCTTTAAGAAACATTTGTAGGGTAGGTTTGGAGGAGGTATTCTTTCACCTTTCTTTTTATTGTGAAAGAATTTTATTTTACTTTCAAAGACAAAGGAAAGCTTTGTCAGGTACATTATTCTGGACCATCAATTTTTTTCCTTTTAGAATCTGGAATATGTTGATTCATTCTCTTCTGGCCTGTAGAGTTTCCTGTGAGAGATTGGCTGTGAATTTAATTGTCATTCTTCTGTGTGTCAATTGATTTTTTTCATGAACACATTTAAGGATCTTTTCCTTATGTTTGTTTGAAGAGAGCTTGATTATCATGTGTGGTGGTTAAGAGCGTTTTTCGTCAAACCTGTTGGCCAAAAATCGCATGGAGAAACATTAGCCAGGGTGAAGCAGAGAGGGCACATTCCAGGAAATGAGAGAGGACAGACTGACAGTAGAGGAGCACCCAGAGATTGATGGAAATAGGAAAGCTACAGAGACCACAGTGTGGTGTTGTAGTGATGAGATACTCCAGTCACATTTGGCCAGTGGCGATCTGATTTCCACCAGTGTCCAGAATTCCACCAGCAAACAAATGTATTTAACAAAATAATAAAAGAGAATCTCACTTTTAGAAAGAATTAGGAAAAAAAACATCCAAGAGGGGCACAGAACTCCTAACAGTGTTGACGAAAAGCGATCTTCACCATGACACATGATAATCAAGCTCTCCTCAAAAGTGCTTTAACATAAAAGCTTTTTAAATGAGTTCATAATAATACTAAAAGTATCAACATTATATGTATTTGATTAATTAAAGGGAAATCATTAAACATGTATTTTCTTTTCTACACAACCTTATAGATTAGGAAAATCCAATAATTGATGAGAAGTGTTTCATTTTTATCAAGTGTTTCCAGTCATCCACCAGGAGTGAATGGTAGAATTATATTTACCACTTAGGAGGTGATTTGTTTTTGAGCAGGGTACTTAGGGTTTATTAGCTCATTTACAAATCCATGAGTACAAATGCTTCTTGTCAGGTTTCTCCTTGAGATACTGCCCAGCCACTGAGCCAAAATTCACAGAACATGTGTAATATGAACCACAGTTACTTATAATAGGATGACTTCAGTGTCTCAATGGCTATGTGAAATATCTGTTATGTTCATGTCACATCACAGTTAGACCCTACTCCATGAAGTCCAATCAGGGCACAGCTCATCCACATTCTAGAACTCCTGCTTTGTTTGGATTCTCATCATCACTTAGTTGGTTTAGGTTGCCATGGTGATTTGCATTGGTCAATGGCACTTCAAAGGTGCTTACCCTCTGGCTGCTCTGGGAGTTGTTACTGTATAACCTGACCTCCTAGATGGTGTTCAGGACCATGAGTGGAAGGGCTGAAGCAATCAGTTTGCACCTGCCAGCCCTGTTGGCCCGGGAACTGACAACAGATCCATGGACAACGTTAAAAGTCTTATCAGCCTGGCCAGGAACCGCCCAACTGCAAACAGCCTGACATGCCAAGCCCCAGAAGTATGAAATAGTGAATATTTTGAGCCTAATTTGCAGGGACTGTACGTGTGCGTATGCATGTTTAATAATGGGTATGTGGAACACAGAATAAAACATTACCCCTGATTAATCAAATACTTGTCATTGTTGACATTGTGCTAGCAGGTATAGTTTCTTTCTTTGCATGTTTGTGGTGTGAATTTCAAAGTTTTTTTGTGACATAAATTTAATAGGACAACATTGAATTTCCTATTTCAATCTGTTTTCATTTCTTTTCATGAGTATAAAGTTGTTTTTATACTTATTTTTAAGTTATTTAAATTTATTCATGACTCTGAGGTTAAAAATATGAAATAAAAGATGAAAAATAAGAAGTCATATAGACAAGCTATTTATAACAATCAATACTGAAAGAGTGGAGTAAGAATATTTTGCTAGAAAAGATAGGCACTTTCTGTAGATATTTCATAACAAATCATGAAATTCATGAGAAAAAAATCAGACAAATCAAGCAACGGAGCTGTCATAAAAATGAAAGAGATAACATGGTATAAAATATGTTCTGATAATATTTTCCATCAATCATTTTCATTCTTATATGCCTCACATGGGATATCTCTGAATCCTTACCACAACCCAGTGAGGTAGACCCTTTCTAGACTGATTACCAGATGAGAAAATCGATGGTGTGAGAGTTTGTAGCTGTCTATTGTAATCATTCCATACACAGTTTTTCAGCTGAGAACAATTGCATGGTTTCTTTACATGGGAGCAACTAAGTGCAGCTTAGCTGGTGAGGGACTACCCGCAAGAATTCAATTTACCTGTGTAACACAGACCCAGGTATGTCATCAGGTTTGTGCAAAACTAAGTATGTTTGATAATACACTCAGCAGGTAGGGTTCAGGCTGTGACACGCCCAGATACCTCCTGCTTCTGAAAGTAGGTGCGGATTCAAGAGAAAATCCCATAGTACAAACATAATCTTGACATAACTCTTACTTATAAAAAGTCAGATGCTATGAAGAACTTCAGTGGATTGAATTATTTCAGGCACCCTTGATGACAAAATACAATTTCATGTTTTGGGATGGAGCGTTAGTTACAGGGACACTAGTTGGCCAAGGTGAGTAGACTGCACTATATGTTTAGAGCTGTTGGGAGCTAACCAAGTGTTTTAAGCCTGCAAAGGTGGTCTGATTGGAAGTACACCTGTTGTTCCAAGTACAGCATTCTCTCTGTGTCCTCAAATGACATTGTTTTTCTCAGACATGAAGGAGCAGATACCTGTTTTATACCCTTTTATCAAAATTTTCCTCTTTGTCCTACCTATAGCTAGCTTAAAGCCCGGGATATCAGGCACACAGAGACCTCAGTGGCTTTCAGCCAGGCCATAAGGTTTTTGGTGATCAAATTGAAATGACTCATCTGTGCTTCTGTGTTCTGCAGGCAGCCATAACGTTGACATGTATTAGGGATTGCTAAGCCAAAATTGGCTGCATTGGAATGTGCACCTGTTTTAAGTTAGCTACTATATTGAGCTCTGGGTGTGTAGTTTTTTCCCTGTGTTACTGAGGCAATACAACCAAGCAAATGAGTTGTGATTTATTCATTTGAATGCCAGAATGATACACAGAGAGTTAGAGACAGAAAAAAAAAATTGTTTAGTGATTACTACTCAGAGGGCCTGAACATCCAGGATTTGGCCAGACAAAGGCAGGAGACTGGAATCCTATTTGAGTGACAGGAACTCAAATACTTGAACCACCATCTGTTGCTTCTCAGGAGCGTGAACAGGAAGCCTAGTTCAGAAACCATATAGTAAGGATTTAAAAGGGGCATCCAAAGCATCAGCTTAGCTTGTTGTACAACACCAACCCCAAAACACATTTTTACATGTTTGCTTACCAAATATCTGTTGAAGTTTTTATGTGAATGTCACATTATGATAAATATTGAGCTACATTATTCATAACTTTGTTGATAACTGTAGATCAGTATACCATGTGATATGGAAAAATACATATAATTATGCAAAGATAAGGGCCCTAGTAGGAGTAAGAAGAGACTTGAAAGTGATACAACCTGTGAACTGAATGTAGAAGAATGACTGAAGGAAGGGCAGCGGTAAATGTGCCTCTGTTAGACATCGGGATGCTGGTCTGTGTAGTCCTGGGGAGAAACGCAAGCCTGCAGATGGGAAAGAAATACACATAGTAAGTACGGAGAAGCAGGAGTTACTGACTCCCGCAGTGAATAAGCAGAGCCAAGCAAAGTCTCCTCCCCCTGCCTTTGTGTCTTTTCAGCCATCTATGAGCAGTCCTGCGAGGTGTACAGGCATCAAGGGAACACAGCCGGTTTCTTCTACATCGACTCAGATGGCAGCGGGCCCCTGGCACCTCTCCGAGTGTACTGCAATATCACTGGTAAGGGTCCAAATTCCCTCTCACGCTTAGCCTAGCCTTATGGCATGAAGCAAAGGGGACTCTCCTGGAAGAGGACATCTATTTAGCTAAAACATTCAAGGACAAATTTAGCAATTATCAGCTAGGGTTGCTCATGAACAAGAGAAAGAAGAAAGCACATCCTTGAGCGGAATAATAACTTATTGAACTAATATTTGGTTTTCAACCTTTTCCTGTAAGACTTGTTACAGATATTTTTCTCTTAAAATTGATAAAAATTAAATTAATAATAATAATATTAATGATAATAAAAATACAGATGACTAAAAATTAGAAACCCTCTCTTTGGGAACCAGAAACCTTGACTCATGATTTGTACTGAGGATTGTGTGTGATGAGCTGTAACTGCTCCAACAGTGAAATTGGATCTTAGTTATCCTCAAAATATAACTAACACATTAGTTATTCCAGAATGTAGACTTCCCAGAACTATGAATTCAGTGGAAAAAAGTACATTTACTGGACTTTCTGACTTGGTTTGATGCAAATTTCTCTGATTTCCTATCTCCAAAAATTGGAAGAATATGTATGAAAGCCATAAATTCCTGAGCATCCAGGGTCTTGCAAGATGTGGGTTGGAGTGTGCAATTTCTGTCTCTTTTAATCATGCCAGTAAATATATGTGGCAGATTTTTCATGTATTTTATTTAGAAGGAAGAAAATATGTTACATGTCTTTATTGCTGAAGGTAGTCCAGCTTGTGGCTCTGCATGGATACTGAGACAGCAAGTTGACCCCCACCTTTCCCCCCAATAACAGCCTATAGACCCAGACAATATGCATATATTTTACCTTACAGTGTTTTCTAATTGTTATTTTTTTGCTACAAAAGTAGTCAGTGCTAATTGTAGCAGATTGGATGTAAAAAAATATAAAATAGTGAGCAAAGGACAATGCTCCCATTTATTCATAATGTATTTTTTAACTTTTAATGAAAGATTTATTTATTTTGATTGGAAAGTCAGATTTATAGAGACAAGGAAAGACAGAGAGAAAGATCTTCCATCTGCTAGTTTACTCCCCAAGTGGACTCAACAGCTGGAGCTGAGCCGATCTGAAGTCAGGGGCCAGGATCTCCGTCCAGGTCTGCAGTGTAGGTCCAAGGACCTTAGGCTTTGGGTCATCCTGTACTGCTCTCCTAGGCCACAAGCAGTGAGCTGCATGGGATGCGGTACAATTGGAGCAAGGACAAGTGCCCATGTGGGTTCCTGGCTGACGCAAGGCAATGACTTTAGCCACTAGACCATTGTACCAGGCACCATTGATAGTCTTGAGGATACTTTTGTTAGTATGTTAGAATTTTCTAGGTACACTTGTTATAAACATACGTGTTTTTGTGCACATTCACATATACAAGTTAATCAAGAGTTTTGGTCCTAGAGTACAAGTGTACCCCTTCTTCTATATCATTGAGATGCAATCCGAAATTAAATACATGGCTTAAATCAGCTTACGTTTTTAAGCTGTCAAATGGAATGCAAGTCAAAAACCCACAGCGGTAGAGTTGATTCACAGGCAAACACTCTCGGTTCATTTCCATGGAACCATCTGCCTCTCATTGCCTGAGGCATCTTTCAGAGTGTGTGTTCATTCCACCTAGTGTCTGAAACAGTTGAGGATGAGTAAGAGTGGCTGAAGGCTGCTTCCTCCTCCATGCTCTCCAGTAGCAAGCAGACCTCTCGTTTGTGTCTTGCCTTAGGGTCTTCACATGTGTGGCTGGGCATTTCTTTGGAATGCGACATCTTTGGTCATGCAGTTGCAAGATATGCATGTTTTTGTATTTGTTTCCACTAAATCTTCCTTCTAGTCTTAATTAAACTTCTCTGGTGTTGAATTGAAAGTTTTCTAGTATAGAAATGTAGTAACAAGACATGCATATAATCTGCTTGGAATTTTTCAACCCATATTCTACTTATTTTTTGAAATGACTTGTTATTCATTTGTGTTATAGTCAAAGACTCAAAGGCTTTATTAAAAAAACTCAATAAATAAAATATGAAACAATCATAGTCAAGCAAGACCCATGAACAATATTCAAATGACAGATATTTAACTTTTAAAATGGGCACAAGTTCTTTAATATTATATCAATATGTATATATATCATATATTGTTATCTAATTATAATTCATATATTATTTAAATGTAATACGCAATCATATAAAATACAATTACATACTGTTAATACTATATTAATATGTATATGAACAAATGCATTTAGATGTATCATACATTATATATTATTTCTGTAGTATACATTATAATATATATTTGTGTTATTTATATATGAAATATACTACATACAAATATAATGAAATTGTAGTATATTATTTGTTTCGCATTGTTTGACATATTCAAAACAGCGTTTTGACCAAACATTGATATTTGCAGTGAAATCTGGTATACAAGGTCTCTCTCTCCCCTTCATTTTAGCTCCCTTGTATAAGGGAGAACATGGCCTCTCTTTTCAGTATTTGGCGTATTTAACTCATCCTGATGTTTTCCAACTAAATACTTGGCATCCTTAAACATAAGTGACTAGTCACATGATGAAAAGAGAGCGAAAGTTATCCGGGGAGGGAGCAGAGAGCAATGAAGACAGAGGGAGAAGAGAAGCAGTGGGAGTGTGTCCTGTGTTATAGTAGATTAAGCTGTGGGAACTTGGTGTCCTATATCTGAGGGTACGTAGTGGTGCTGGCTGCTTCACTTTCCATTTGGCTCTATGCTACTGTGACAGAAAACAAAACTGAATAACGCCCAGGTGCTAGAGCTTGCTCTCCCTGTGTGAGTGCCTGGCTGCTGTGGCAATTTGTGGATACGCACTCTCTTTTTCTCTTTTTTTGTCTCTTTCTGACATTCTGCCTTTCAAAGCAATGGATTAATATTTTGAAGAGCGGAAGTAGAGGTGGAGAAGGAAGGTTGCTGCGTACACAGCTTTAGTTGGTGAGAACTCAAAGCTCCTCTCTTAAAGCACTTTTCACAAACATCCCTGGGGGAATCGCAGAGGGTGACAGTAGTGCAGGAGGTGAGGAGCAGGGGTTTCCTTTACGTTCCTTCCTAAGGTCAGCTGCGCCCATGACCCAGTTCCACATCTCTAAAATCAGCTTCTGAAAAAGGAATGTTCTTCACATTGTGCTCATTTAGGATTCATTGAGAGTTCCATGCGGACATTTGCCTTAAGTAGCATCCAGGACACTCACAGGTGCACATCATGAGGCTGAACAGGGAAGGGTTCTGTTGTGGAAAGTACTGACTCCGCATCCCCAGACCCCTCAGCACAATGTGTGCTGGGGAACGCCAGCACAGCTTTCCATCAGAGAGGTGGTACCTTAGCTGTTCCTGGAGTCATGCCTGTGCAAAGCACCTGTGAACCTCACCCACCCTGGGATGTCAGCAAAAAGCAGGCAGATCTTGTACAGGTAAGAACCTCAAATGCTCATATGCGTTTGTTATAAATAGGAGCTTCCCTGAGAAGGGAATGATGGCCGTATTGTTAGAGCAATTAAGCTTATTGAGAAACAAGACTGAAGCCACACGATCATAACCATTTGATTATGTGCCATAACCAGACAGAGAATTTTAATCCATGGTTCACTCCCAATTTGTTTTTTTTTTCTTTTTATTATTATACATTCTATAGGCCTTGAGACTCCTCTTATCCCCTCTCCACCTCACTAAGTTCCCCTATATCCTTACTATACTATAGTTCTTCATAAACAGTCATACGTCCATCATTGAGGGCATGGACAATGGCAGAGAGTCCAGCATTATATGGCTGAAATATAATAAACAGTTACATTGAAAAATCCATCTTTGTCTGGAAGTAGAGATGTATACTGCATTGTATCCTCATCTCTGGCTATGGTAGTCACCATTACACAGTTTACTGTATATCCCCTTAAATGAAAAGCCACAAAACAAAATCAACAACAGGAAAAAAACATGCAAATTTACAATGCCATGAAGTTACATAATGTGCTGCTACATAGGATAGTCTCTATTACACAGTTACTATACATCCCCTTAAATCAAAAGCCATAAAAAACTTACTAACAGGAAGGAAAAAAGGAAATTAACAAAACCATGAAGTTAAATAACATGCTACTGAATGACTAATGTGTTGCTAAAGAAATGAAAAAATGAAATCAAGAACGTTCCTGAAGAAAATGATACTACTGTATGATCTATAGGCCATCAAAGAATTTAATCAGGAGAAAGTGTTTTGAAGACATGAAACTACAAGAAAATCAAAATCCACGAGAAACAGTTTCATCTGATATTTATTGGTGAAATGTGTCTGCTGTAGGTGAAAAATAGATGGGTTTTGTTTTTTAATCCAGTCTAGAAATTATTAGTTTGATTGATGAGTTTATTATTTTATTATTATTTTTTTTTCATTGGAAAGGAGGATATACAGAGAGGAGAGACAGAGAGGAAGATCTTCCATCTGATGATTCACTCCCCAAGTGAGCGCAACGGCCGATACTATGCCGATCCGAAGCCAGGAGCCTCTTCCGGGTCTCCCACGCGGGCACAGGGTCCCAAAGCTTTGGGCCGTCCTCGACTGCCTTCCCGGGCCACAGGCAGGGAGCTGGAAGGGAAGCAGGGCTGCCGGGAGAGGACCTTAACCACTTGCGCCACCGCGCCGGGCCCTGATTGATGAGTTTAAACCATGTCCATTCAGAGTTAATATGTATGGGTCTTAAGTTGGTACTGTCATTTTAGGAATGGGTTGTTCATTGATTTAGTCTTCTGTTGTTATTTTACTGGGATGTTCTTCCCATTTGCCTTTGGTTTTGGTGGGTATTATTCCTCTTCTCTCTCAAGAGAACATCTTTAAGTGCCTTGTAGGACAGGTTTGGAACAGGCATATTTTTTTTAACTTTTCTTGACTGTGGAAGAATTTTATTTCTTTTTTTTTTCTTTTTTTTTTTATTGTTGCTTACATTATATTATGTAGTACAGTTTTATAGGCGCTGGGGATCCCCCCCACCCCTCCCATACCCCTCCCCCCATGGTGGATTCCTCCACCTTGTTGCATAACCATAGTTCAAGTTCAGTTGAGATTCATTGCTTGCAAACACATGCCTAGCATAAAGTTCAGCGTCTTATTGTCCAGATAAGTTCAGTGGCCTCTTGGGGAGACCTTCTATGGTCTGAAGAAAGGTCTAACAGAGTAAAGATCCAGTCAGTTAAAAGCCCCAACAAGGCCTCAGTATCATTATACAACATTATGGAATTAATTGACATAGTATTGGGTAAACAATATGTTAAAAATAATGCAAGTTCCATTCTTCGAAACATCTGGGTTGAGACAGTATCAATGACAGGTTCAAAAAATAACAAACCACCAAACAAAAAATTACAGGTTAAATCAAGGCAAACATGTGGTATCTAATCTTTTGGGATTCGCTCATTTCCCTTAGCATTATAGTTTCCAGTTGTGCCCATTTAGCCACAAAGAACTGCATTTTGTTTTTTTTAATAGCTGAGTAGTATTCCATGGAGTAGATGAACCAAAGCTTTCTTATCCAATCTGCTGATGGGCATTTCGGTTGCTTCCATGTTTTCGCAATTACTGATTGTGCTGCAATGAACATAGGGATGCATGTTGGTTTGTCGTAAAACAGGTGTTTTGGATATATTCCTAGGAGTGCTATTGCTGGGTCATATGGTATGCAGATTTTGAGTTGTTTGAGTGTTCTCCAGACTGATTTCCATAAAGGCTGTACCAATTTGCAGCTCCACCAGCAGTGGAGTAGGGTTCCCTTTTCCCCGCATCCTCGCCAGCAAGCGTCGTTGGTGTTCTTGTTTATGTGGGCCAATCTTACTGGTGTTAGGTGGTACCTCATCGATGTTTTAATTTGGATTTCCCTTATTGCTAGGGAGCTGGAACATTTTTTCATATGTTTGTTTGCCATTTGGACTTGTTCCTTTGTGAAATGTTTGCCCATTTCCCGTGCCCATTTCTTGAGTGGTTTGTTTGTTTTGGTTTTTTGGTTGTTTTGAAGTTCTTTGTATATCCTGGAAATTAGCCCCCTATCGCCTATATCGTGTGCAAAGATCTTCTCCCACTCTGTGGGTTGCTTTTTTACTTTGTTGATTGTTTCCCTTGCTGTACAGAAGCTTCTTAGTTTGATGAGGTCCCATTTGTTTATTCTGTTCTCAACTGCTATTGCTTTTGGTGTCCTTCTTAGAAAGTCGGTACCTACTCCTAGGTCTTGCAGGGTATTTCCTACATTTTCTTGCAAGAGTTTGAAGGTTTCTGGATGTAGGTTTAGGTCTTTTATCCATGTAGATTGGATCTTAGTGTATGGTGAGAGATGTGGGTCTATCTTTTTGTTTCTACAGGTTATCAGCCAGTTGTCCCAACAACATTTACTAAAGAGTCCTTCCCACTTGCTTAAGCTGTCATTGGTCTTTTTGTCAAAGATTAATTGGCTGTATCTGTGTGGATTCCCTTTTGGTGCTTCTATTCTATTCCATTGATCTTCCTTTCTGTCTTTGTGCCAGTACCAGGCTGTTTTGATTACCACTGCTCTATAGTATGTCCAGAGGTCCGGGATTGTGATTCCCCCTGCTAATTTCTTATTTTTCAGGATGGTTCTAGCTATTCGTGGTTTTTTGTGTTTCCAGATGAACTGTTGAATCATTGTATCCAGTTCCGTGAAGAATGTTTTGGGCAATTTGATTGGAATTGCGTTGAAAATGTATATTGCTTGTGGTAGTATAGACATTTTAATGATATTGATTTTGCCTATCCAGGAGCACGGGATGTTATTCCATCTTTTGAGGTTTTGTTCAATTTCCTTTTTAAATAGTTTGTAGTTTTCTTCGAATAGGTCTCCTACACTTTTGGTTAGATTTATTCCCAAATACTTCATACTTCTCTCTGCTATTTTGAATGGTATCCTGTTGGTTAGATCTTCTTCCATCTTGGTGTTATTTGCGTACACTATGGCTGTTGATTTTCGTTCGTTAATTTTGTACCCCGCCACTCTGCCAAACTCTCGTATAAGTTCTAGCAGTTTCTGTATTGAGTCTCCTGGTTTTTCTATGTATAGGATTATGTCATCTGCATATAGTGAAAGCTTGACTTCTTCGTTTCCTATACGTATGCCTTTGATTTCTTTTTCTTGTCTTATGGCCTCTGCAAGTACCTCTAGGACTATGTTGAATAGCAGTGGTGATAGTGGGCACCCTTGTCTTGTTCCAGATCTCAGTGGGAAGGGTTCTAGCTTTTCTCCATTCAGTATGATACTGGCGTTGGCTTTTTCATAAATTGCTTTAATTATGTTGTGGATTTTCCCATCTATGCCTACTTTGGCTAGAGTTTTTAGCATGAAGAGGTGTTGGATTTTGTCGAAAGCTTTTTCTGCATCTATTGAAACTATTATGTGGTTCTTGTTTTGCAGTTTTTGGATATGGTTTATAACATTTATGGATTTCCGAATGTTGAACCATCCCTGCATTCCAGGGATGAATCCTACTTGATCCGGATGAATGATCTGTCTGATGATTTTTTGAATTCTATTGGCTAGGATTTTGTTGAGAATTTTAGCATCAGTGTTCATCAGAGAAATAGGTCTGTAGTTTTCCTTCTCTGATGGTTCTCTATCCAGTTTTGGGATTAAGGTGATGTTGGCTTCATAGAATGAGTTTGGGAGGGTTGCTTCCTCCTCTATTGTTTTGAAGAGCTTGTAGAGGATTGGGGTTAGTTCTGTTCGGAATGTTTTGTAGAATTCTGTAGTGAAGCCGTCTGGGCCTGGGCTTTTTTTCGTTGGGAGATCCTTGATGACTGTTTCAATCTCTACCTCGGTTATGGGTTTATTTAATTCTGCAGTTGCCTCCGGACTGAGTTTTGGTAAATGGTGGGAGTCCAAGAACTTTTCTATTTCTTGGTGGTCCTCAAATTTGTGGGAGTACAGTTCTTTGTAGTAATTTCTAATTATTTTCTTAATGATTGCAGTGTCTGTTGTTATGTTGCCTTTTTCATCTTTAATGCTGTTGATTCTCACTTTCTCTTGTTTTTTTTTTGGTCAATCGGGCCAGTGGAGTGTCTATTTTGTTTATTTTCTCAAAAAACCAACTTTTTGATTTGTTGATTTTATGTATAGTTTTTTTGATTTCTATTTGGTTTATCTCCTCCCTTGTTTTGATGATTTCTTGTTTCCTATTGTGCGTGGGACTCTTCTGCTGCTGTTTTTCCAGATCCTGGAGGTGTGAGGTTAGTTCCTGTATTTGGCGTCTTTCTTGGGCCTTGACATGCGCTCCGATTGCAATGAATCTACCTCGTAGCACTGCTTTGGCGGTGTCCCACAAGTTTTGGAATGTTGTATCAGAGTTTTCATTGGTTTCCATGAATTTTTTGATCTCATCTTTAATTTCTTCTCTGACCCATTGTTCGTTTAATAGCATATTGTTCAATTTCCAAGAGTGCCTATACTTCCTGGGGAGTTTTGAGTTGTTGATTTCCAGTTTCATCCCATGGTGGTCTGAGAGGGTACATGGTATGATACTAATGTTTTGGAAGTTGTTTAGATTCGCTTTATGTCCTATCATGTGGTCGATTCTGGAGAAGGTGCCATGCACCGCTGAGAAGAATGTATAGTCTGTGGCCTTAGGATAAAAAGTTCTATATATGTCTACTAAGTCCAGTTGTTCTATTGTTTGTGTGAGCTCTGTTGTTTCTTTGTTGAGTTTTTGTTTCGTAGACCGGTCCATTGTTGTTAGAGGTGTGTTGAGATCGCCTACAAGAATTGT